AAATTCCAGTGAAATATATTTATGTTTGTGGTTGTAATGTGACAAAATATGGAAAAGTTCAAGGGGTATGAATACTTTTGCAAACCACTGTAAGAGAAACACATATGCAAAACTAAAACTATAAACTTTGAACACAAAAGAAGAACAAAGTAACGATGTCAACAAAACCCCAACAAACCCATAAATAGAAAACAATAAGAAATTGCAAATCAAAATCACCACAGAGCCTTGCCACTGTACCCAAGACAAGACTTTGTAGGAGGAAAAAAGTTCTCACGCTAGAGGGAAAACTTGGTCTTTAACAATGATCCAGTAATTTATTCCACTGCCAGATTCCAACTTACAAATATAAGCTTGATTGCTGGTAATGATGCCCACAGTTGAGCATTGATCCGTCACTGAAACTAGATTCACTTTGGTATCTGGTCGCATGCACTTCTGGAGGTTCTTATTGCTGGAATGTATTGGTTTTTGCATTAACCACGTTTATCGCTGAAATGAGGAAAGCTGTTAAAGACAGGAACACATACAAAGCTGAGCTTTGGTAAACACCCAAAAACTAAACAAAAAGAACAGGACATGGGTTGATAGAAATATTTTGGATTTACTGTATGTTTGAAAAAAGTTAAAATACATTTAACAGTTTGCAACTCAGTCAAAGTTATTTCTTACAGAATTAGTTATATGTGTTGTTTTGCAGTGACATATACTGTGTCACCATATATTGTACCATTGACTCAACTTCTTCTACCATGGTTGATTCTCAGCTGGGTTAGTTGAACTCAAGTGAAGGACTGTAGAATAAATCAATTTCTCCTGCAAAGCATACTAATATAGGTTTGTGTCAAACTAGTTTCAATCCATTTTACAAGACTCACACCAGTAACAAATGAAACAGTACTTTCTCATATGACCAATTGAATTCTTGTTTCACTGAAATGTCTAAATTTTGAGAATTTAAAAGAATTAACAATGCCAGCTTCTTTCTGGGTCAAAAGAAGCTGGTGCACATCTCTAGCCATCAATATTGTGAGATTCAAGCAGGGAAAAACCCAGGGCACAGGCAAAAATCCAAATGCCAAAAAGGTTTTAATAATAAACTCAAAATGGCTGACAAAACAGCTCTAAAGTTTACCAAAACCTCAGTAGGAATACAGAGAGATCACACAGGCTGAGGGAAGCAGCACAATCAATGAACAAACACTGAAGACAGGACACAGAATATAAAGGCAAACTAATTAAGGGCAACAAGAAACACCTGGAGGAGACACAAGAGGAAACAGGTGAGCATGGGCGGGGCTGGAGGAATGGCAGCAGGGGAGAGATACACAAGGGAACACAGAAACTAGAAAACCAAGGAAAATAAGCACAATCATGGCAAATATACATTTATTTTTCAGAAAGAATATGTACACTGTAAATTTCTAAAAAATAATAATAAAATAAAAACAAGCATGGCATTTAAAAAAGAAAACAAGTTTTCTTAAGTTCTCTAGAAATTGCAGACACTTTGTGAGTCTTCATTTTACAAAAGGCTTTAGCATCCCAATCCCACCCCTGATCCCAATCCATATAGACAGCCAAGGTGATCTCCCACACTGAAGCATTCAATTATTTCTAGCTAAACGGCTCTTACCTGGCATCTAGAATGACCAGCAGATTAAATAATAGGACTATCAGAGCCCTCTCTGGAGAAGATGGAAACACAACCTGATACCTGCCTAATGCCCCACCGAGCACGCGTGCACACGCCGACACTCGCACACGTGACGCATCGGGAAAAGGCTGTCAAAGCTTTCATTCTCCTTTTACTTATTCAAAACTTCCCTTCCCTGCCTTTAATTTCTTTCATGCAGCAGCGCTTATGGAATCGTCACTGCAAAGAGCTTAAGATCAATAGGAGATGAGTTGCATGCTAATCTGATAAACAATGGGTCAGTTAGGGTAACATTTCTCTCTGCAAAAAATAGACAGCATCTGATACAAAGTCATTAGAGAGCTCAGCTGACAGAAGGAGGGGGGGGGGGGTGTAGCCAGGGTGATGAAGGAACACAATGGAAGAAGACAGTGAGGGAGAGAGGACTTTGACAGTACATTAGCATCTTCAGCATTCTGTCTGAAGTGCTCAGTCCGGATCAGGTAGCTCCGCGATGCAATACCTCACTCCTTTGAGGGTGTTTATCCACATGAATTGTTTGCAAAGAAAAAACAGTTTGTTTGAAGACTAAATAAGGCTCCTCATTTTAGATGTTTTTTTTTTTGGGGGGGTTGGGGGGGGCATTTTGAGAATACTTCAACCTTTGCATGGTACAACTCTTCACAGAGGCGTTCGTCAAACATTTATGAAATCAATTTTCTTTGAAAGGTGTAATAATGTCCGAATCTTGGAACACGCTGACATTCAGTCTGGAGATTCAGCCGTCAACGATCACACAGCGTGCTTAACACAGCAAATCAATGCCGTCAACAGCGCTGGTGTGAGAGATATGTTTTGTGAGGCATTAGTGCTGAAAAATTGCCCAAAATGTTGCCATAAATCAAGAGGATTCAGCAAAGATGAGTTGTTTTCTGACTTAAATGATAGAGCGCATGAAACTGTTGCCTTTCTAAAAATGAGCTCCAACTTTAATAAATCATTATTATGTTCGAAGGCAAGTTTGGCATTAGCACAGTCAAATGTGTGAAACATCAAGGGACTCCCATAACTCAATGCATTTCCCTGGACGTTGAGCACACTGGTGGCGCTGTTCGTTAAGCGTAAACACCTGACCTCCTTGCCATCATCTCAGAGGGCAGGCGTTGCTAATCACCAACCAAGTGCATGGAAAGAAAATGAGCTGAGCTCCAGAGAGACACAGCTTCACACTGCGGATGCACTTTTTCCCTGAGAACTGCCACTCAGCTCGAATTGGTACATTTCCCACTCCACAAATACTGTAAACAATCCTCAAAGCGGGTTGTAAAACAGGTAATTCAATTATGTACAGTTCATTTTTCAGGGAAATATTGCACCTCAGTCCTCTCCGAACCCCCCTCTTCTTTATTCCCTCCCAAATTTATTGGCTTGCGATACCTGAACCGCTTCTCATCTCTCCTCGTTGCGCTGCATGCTCTTGGCTGATTTCCAAAGCTACAATCAAGTGCTGTCTCCTTCTCTCTCTCTGGCTCGGTGTGGTGCGAGTGTGTGGTGGTCGTGTGCCAAACTAGCCAGCTAGCTTTTGCAGTAATTAGCCACCTGTGTATAATCTCTCACTGCAGGCATACTATAAATATCCATACATCCATTAGCACACTGCTGCACAAAGTGCCTCACCAAGGCAACTGTTATACATGGATAGATTTAATCTCAGCAACAGTGCCCAGTGCCGCAGAAAAATGATGAGCTGTGTATAATTTCATTCATGTTCAAACTTTAAAAACAGGCACATGAGTCGCGTCTATCCGTTTCCTCATCTTCATTCAGTCGAACATGGCTCCCTCTCGGTTGCTGTTATGAAGCAATTAGCAATTATTAATCAGAAAAGCCAGTGATATGTTATGCAATACCCATGCAGTCTATTTAAAACAATAGAAGTTGGCTCAGTAGGAAAGCTAATTAAAAGATAAAATCACTTTCTTGTCTGTCCAATTAAGGACTTCTGTCAGGTTGGACCCTTGGAATAACTTCATCTTGATGATGACACCAGAGGAGCTGTGTGTGTGTGTGTGTGTGTGTGTGTGTGTGTGTGTGTGTGTGTGTGTGTGTGTG